CATAGGGCTCCCTTGGTATTGTAGTACCTGACACATGTGTGCCAAAGTCATCCTGGCCGGTGTGGTTATATCGCTTATAGCAGAACGAAGATTCTTGATGCAGTGCCATTTGAGGGATTGGAGGAAAACGGTCACCCAGCTTAGGCTTGCGTCCTTGCCCATCTTTGCTCCTAAAGCGCTCGGCCTGTTGACATCACCTGTTTCAAATGGAATCATCATTCCATTGTTTTATCTCATTACCCTGAAATGCAAGAGTCCACCATGACACCAGACTGCCAGTGATACGACCTATCACTGCGGTGTCATCCGCGAACTTTAGGATGATGTTGTCCTTGTGGGAGCTGACACAGTCATGGGTGAACAGGGTGTAGAGGATGGGACTGAGGACACATCCCTGTGGGGTGCCAATGTTTGTAGTAATGCTGGCCGAGGTCCCATTACCAATCCTGACAGACTGGGGCCTGCCAGTCAGAGAGTCCAGGAGCCAGTCACAGAGGGTGGGGTGCAGACCCAGTGTGGACAGTTTGTGGGTGAGTTTGTTGGGGATAACTGTGTTTAAAGCAGAGCTGTAGTCAATGAAGAGTATCCTGATGTAGGAGTCTCTATTTTTCAGGTGGAAAGGGAATAGTGGAGGGCAGCCGCGATAGGTGGCCCTGTTTGGTAGGCATACTGCAGGGAATCCAGGGTGTCTGGTTATTTTGAACAAAGAATAAAGTTGATGAGGTATTACATCCAATAATGTGCTGCTGTATTGTTTTCAATGTAATACAGGACACAGATGATTTACACATCACTATTTTCAGTTTTAATTTTGATTTTGCATACAACTTTTTCTGAATTGGGGTTAGAAAAGACAGTGTTTCCAGTAACTACATCACAGCTTCTGCTGAATCTTTAATGTTATGTTATTTATAATCCTCTATCATCTCCACTACCTACAGGGTGACTTCATACAAAAATATAGTCCAGGCTCAACTATATTTTTTTCTTTGAATACCAGTTCTCGTTTATGTTTTGTTTATTTTGTAATAAACAATAGCAGTTCCAGACACTTTTGCACTAAGTCATCAAACTTGCAGGAAACTTCTACAAAGTTATTTTATTTGTATAGCACCAAATCACAACAAAAGTCATCTCAGGATACTTTACAAAGTAAGGTCTAGACCTTACTGTTATCACTATTATTACATGGGGAAAACCCAACAAATCCCCCTTGAGCAAGCACTTGGCGACAGTGGGGAGGAAAAACTCCCTTTAACGGAAGAAACCTCTGACAGACCCCGGCTCTTGGTGGGCGGCCTTCTGCCTCAACCGGTTGGGGTGAGTGGATAGAGGAGAGACAAAAGAAGAAAAGCAACAAGGCACAACAAACAATCAAACACTGGTCAAGTTGATGTGGCCAGTGTCTGCTTTATAAACTGTCATCAGTTTATAAAGTCTGCCTCTCTTCTTCCATTAGTTGACATTCTTTACACTATCCACTGTGGCTCTGTGCTAAACAGTCCTGTCCAGCTTTGAGCTAATATCAACCACATGAAATAAGACTCTGCATCTTCACTAAAGAACCATGGGATTATCTTTATCTTAGCATAATTGGCCATTAAATGATTAAATGGTTTCCCTCTTGCATACTGCTACCCTCAGGGAAAACAGAGCAGGTGGTGGCCTGTGAACCACGAACCAAGCTGAAAACCTACAGTATGTGGGGGGAAAATAGCTGGACTCGACTGAGCCCGAAGAATAACGAATGTTATATTCTGTCACCTTTCATGATTAAAAATAAAACTTTTAAAGGCCTTAGATTCAAAAACTTACATTAAAGACAGATTCTCTGAGTTTAGCTTTACTATGTTTCAATACACAAAATCAATGATAGTTACTGAATGAAGTTATAATTGAAGATATTTGGAAACATGCTTTACTTTGGTAAAAAAAAACCTTTAGTTAAATTAAGACTGATTTTGTTTCACTAAAAACATAATTCTAAGCAAAGAATCTCAGAAATTTTCACTGAGTTACTGCTGATGCTTTCTCCTTGTCTTTTATTCATTTTCTGTAAACTGCTTTCTTTCTACTGTTCTCTTTTGTTTTATGTTTCTTTCTGTTGCTTCAACAGAGAAATATGGCTTTCAATCTGCACAGTAATCTCTGTTTTCATTATGTCTCCTGAAGAAGAGAAATGACAAGCTCAACAGATACACAAAACTAGCTAGGAGTTAGCAATAGTTTACTAAAATGTATACAAACAATGAATTAATTTTTTCTCAAATTTAAGCATAAACCTTATTGCCAAGTATTTAAAAAATACAAGGAATTTGACTCCAGCTCAATGGCCCCTGATGTGCACAATATAAAAATATAAATACAAAAAATATATACAAGTTAAAAGAGCAACATAGACTGGCTGTTCATGACTTTAATAGCCTGGGGGAAGAACCTATCTCTGTGTCCATGTTGGTGTATAGTGACCTGTAGCACCATCCGGAGGGGAGGAGTTCAAAGAGTTTGTATCCAGGGTGGGAGGGGTCTGCAGAAATCCTCTCTGCCCTCCTTTTGACTCATAAGGTGTACAAGTCCTCCATGGAGGGCAGACTGGCACTGATTATTTTCTCTGTAGTCCTGACTGTCCGCTGGAGCCTGTTTCTGTCCTGTTTGGTTGCCGAGCCAAACAAGACAGAGATGGAAGTACAGAGAACAGACTTGATGATTTCCCTATAAAATTGAATCAGCAGCACTTGAGGCAGGTTGAACTTCCTGAGCTGATGCCGGAAGTACATTCTCTGCTGTGTCACTATTTTAAGCGTGTTCAGCTCCAGGTTGTTGTGACTACACCACAGGACCAGCTGCTCAACCTCCAGTTTGTAGGCTGACTCGTCGCGGTCTCGGATGAAACCAATGACCATTGTATCATCAGCAAACTTTAGGAGCATGACAGAGGGGTCCTCTGTCATGCTTCAAGATGCAGTTGTTGGTGTATAGTGAAAACAGCAGAGGGTAGGGCACACATCCCTGAGGGGCACCTGTGCTGATTGTCTGGGTGCTGGATGTGTGTTCTCCCCTCTGCTGCACTTCCTGTCTGTCAGAAAGCTGATAATCCACTGACAGATGGGGGCAGGCACAAATTTCTACATCTTAAAATGTATTGGCATCTCTAAATTTTGATAATAATAACATTTAATCTGGTTACTATTATGTAATTATTGAGCTGTGCAATTAAATGAGCACTGGCCTATAAGTGAAGCAAGATTTATGATTTAAACAAGATTTTTTTTTTTTAAAGAGCTTTTTGCTGTTTACAGTGACTGCGATAAAATCATCTCTGAGGTTTCATAAAGTCAGATTTTGCACTATTTTGTGGTCATCTCAAGCTCCTTTAACCTCAGTCACTGAGTCACTTCATTGACAGAAGAGGCAGAACATGACTGGTTGTCCTTTCAAACTTCCAAACATTGATTGGCTCATTGCAGGTAAAACCTTAAAGAACCAAGTTAGACAACAAGTTTGGAAGGAGAACCTTTTCTTTTTCAAGGTGTAAAGTTAATAATAGATTCAACTAAAAATAAATGTATGCAAAATGTTAAGAATTTATCAAAACATTTTTGTGTGAAAAACGTATTTTTGTCAACAGTGACAGACAGAACCTTCTAAAGTCTTGTTGCAGTTTACGTCACCTCTCTCTCCTGCTCAGATCGCTGCCCAATTAAATCAAGCCCTCAGGACTGTTCCTGCATAAGTTCTGCTAATGATATAGGCTTAAATGAAAAATTCATAAGTTGTCAAAAGTATGAGACAACAGGATCTACTTATTACTCACAACCAAAGCTGAAAAGACTTCAAGAGACTGATTTTCCTCATTAGTTTTTTTTAAAGCTCTTCCTAAAGTAATGGTGATTCACTGCTGTGTCAAGTTAGCGAGAAGACTCAAACCAAGGCAAACTTTTCTCCAGAATATACCAGTGGCCTTCACTGATCACTGTTACAGGTTTCAGAAGAGTCAGAAAAAGGGAGATGTTTAACAAGACAGCAGAAATTCTTAAGGTTGTCTGATGATTGAGTTTTCTTGCACATTTTTGCACAAACATCTCAACTTTTAGTTATGAATACAAATAAAACCCCAGTGAAATATCAACATGGTAATTTATACATTTCCTATCTGAGTTTCAACAGCAAATACAGTACATTTTGAAAGAAAAATAATCCCACCAAAGCAGCATCTTCCCCACCCTCATCACCACCACTGTGGTGCCTGTGAGCAAGACCTTTAACCCCAACCACTCCAGTAGAGATGCTCAGTGGCTGGCAGAGCATTAATACAGGGCAGCTTGTGTGAATGTGATCAGGGTGTTCCCGTAAAAGAGAGGCTGCCCCTCAGAGAATCTATTGTATGTCACGTCATTATATAGTGAGAATGTGATCATCACACAGTAGCCATCTCCCCTCATAGTACAAAATGAACCCAAATTGAAGTGAGTGTTTATTTTGAACAAAGAATAAAATTATTGAGGTAACACATAAAATAATGTGTTGATGTATTGTTTTCAGTAAAATACAAATCATTATTTTCAGTTTTAATTTTGATTTTACATACTGTCTCTGCTTTTTTTGATTTGGGGTTGTATATAAAACACTGTACCAAAACCCATCTTTCTTCGTGTTTTTATTTGTACATTGTCTGTGTCATATGAGTTGCAGCGTCTATATATAGATTAGATTAAATAGTAGATTAATAATGCCTACCACTTATTTTTTGTCAGCTCTATATGACACCAGAGAAAATAGCATGAAACAAGTAATCTATAATAAGTCAGTGTAAACACAAAATGAACCCAGACTAAAAGGTAACTGAACCACAGGTCTGACAGCAACCTCAGAAAATGTTTTTGTGCAGTTGTCAGGAGTTTTCTTTTTTAATCTATTTTCAGATTTGTTTGAATACACAAAAAAATATGACTGTATTTATGTATTATTAAATCTGCTATACTGTATCATTTTTTTCTGAGGTGGGAGGGACCATGTACAATACAGGCCGCCATGTCTCTCTGCGACTGGACAAGGAGCATCTGGTTAACATCTCTGGAGGGCCAATGACATACAGCCATCGTCTGGAAGAGATCCGGCTACACTTCGGCAGCGAGGACAGCCAGGGCTCTGAACACCTGCTGAATGGACAGGCCTTCTCTGGAGAGGTGAGAGTGTGTGCCTGACTGTGTGGGGCTGGACTGAAAAGGACATTTATGTTAATTACACTACATCTTAATCATATAAATGTGGTACACACAAAATCAGTTAATAATCAGAGCAACATTAATAGTAATTTGTAATCATGTCTCAGGCCATCTGTCCAATGTAAACCCAATATTTACTCTCCTTTTGGCTGTGTTTAGGTCTCCACCACTTCCTTAGAAAAATATCTCTTTAGCAGCTGATTGCTTCACTATGTTCACCAGCTGTCTGCTGATGCGTACAATAATGTCAGTTTTTTTGCTGGGATCAAGGTTGGTGTGTGTTACGTCCATGGCCCTGTCCACCCCCAACACTTCCTCAGCTGGCACGGGCTATCACAGTAGTTCCGCCCCTGCACAGGTGGGAATGCATTCTAGGCAGTGAGGCACACCTGATCTCAATTTCCAGACTAGTATTTAAAGGGAGCGTTGGTGTGTCCTCATCACCAGATGATCTCTTGTGACCCTGTGAGTATTTGTGCTGTGTTTCCTGCAAGGATTATATACATATGAACTGCTTCTACGTTGTGGGACCTGATTCCTGGTGTTAAGAACTAAATGTCCTTCGTGTTTTTGAAAGGGTCGCTTTCTGTTTTGTTTTACTGTGAACTTGGGTTAAAGAACTAAATGCCCTTTGTATTTTTGAGGGTTGCTTTCTGTTTGAACTGTCTTACTGTGGATTGGTGTATCCCCTGCTGGTTTTGGCCATTTTGTGTTTTTTTTTATTGGCATTATTTGGTGCCTGGACTGTGAACCTTTTTCTCAGGACGAGGAGACCAACCTCTGCTGGGATTTGTTGCGCGGCTCTGGATCTCAACTGTCAGCCTTCATCGCACTGCCCTTCTACCTGCTCTGTCATCTGCTGCAAACCTGAGCCTCTCCACCACGGCAGAACTGCACGTTGGACCAGTGATCACCTGCCTCGAACCAATAAATGCTGCTACTCGGGTCCTCAGTATACCTATCAGTATTGCCGTTTCCATAGCACCCTTGTTACTCATTCTCATCCTCTGCTCTTCTTTAGCCGGCTGCGCCTCTCCTACCACCTTGGGTTATAGTCTTAGCAGTCCAGTCATCCCAGCACTCCCCGCTGCCCTGAGATCGGCTGATGTGACCGATTCTGACCATTCTCAATTCTGTCAGTAAAATACATTTACCTGATCAAGCCTGAGTCCGAGTTCTGCCTTTTTTTCTGAGTCCGACCACACACACATACGGTTCGCCATAACAGTGTGAGCAAATAGAATAGCTACTTTGGTCCACAGCATGTAGACATCTTAAATTGCTGGGTGGACCATGATGGAACCATGCCTGATCTGTGACAGGTCCACACATGGCCCCTGCTCTTATCGTGTATCCCCTGCGATGATCGCAGTGGTGCCTATTTTACGCCCCTAAGCACCATGTGTACCAGCTGCCCGCAGTATTGTGTATATACCCTCCAGGTGGAGCAGTGTTTGTTGTGGTTTACTGCAGAGGCTGACTGATAACTTGATCCTTCTGTTAATTGTCAGAACAGTTGGTGAGTGAATATAGTAGGATGGCTGGACTGAGCTGAGGTGCTCGGTTGACAATGCTGCCTACAAATTAATCAGCGTCTATGTTTATCACAATAATAACTAGTATTTCATTATGCTTATTCACCATTTGAAACTTTGTTCCACTGGAAGTTATTGCATTATGTCTACATTTTTACATTGTTAAATCAAAGTCAAATCAATTGTATGCTACAGAAAGACAGTTGCTCTCAGGCTCTGTTACTCTTTTATGCTCTCCTGAATAGTACCTCTAACTCTTCTTCCCATTTCAAGGCCAGTCTTGGCCAAAAAGAGACACTCTCTCTTCTAAAAATTACATTCTTATATGGCCTATTAGTGGCTGTATTTGGTTATTAGATTATATTCCGATGGAACATAAATTTTTGTCACATGAGTGGCTCAAGATCAGTTTTGAATTCTGCTGTAACATTTAATCTGTGAGTCAACACATAACCATAATAAAACTTGTTAAACCCTGTCTTTGAGCAGCAGTTCATTCAGTTCAGGAGCTTCTCTCTCATCAGCGAGCTAGTTATCGTAACTTGCAACAGCAGCTGTTGTGGTATTGTGTTTGATATGTAGAGCTGGCTAGTTCAGACATTAGCTCTGGACACGCATCTTGGATATCTTTTGTATTTTCATCACTTCAGTTTTTCTGCTCTTGTTCCTCCACAGGTTTATCTGCTTGATCTGTGCAGCACAGCTTTATTGTGTTTCTGTGTGTGTCTGCACGTGGTAATGTGAGTTAGATTACACTACTAGCTCATTATGTATCAGTTTTTACTTCACAAAGCAGGCACTGCCCCTAACTAAAATCGTAGTAAGAGCAGAGCTACCAGTCCACTGGTTCTCAGCACAAGAATCTGTCTGTGAATCACATAAAACTTTGTTATACTTTTATCTTAATTTTCCTTGACACAGTTGGTCAAAACAATTGTGCTTTTGCCCATAATGCAAAAAAAATGGCTTGGTCTGTCATGCTGCTGTAATGAGGCGTTCACTTGACAAACAGTCGGTCACTAAAATCAGGTGCTCAGAAAAGAAATGGAAACAAATGGAACAAAAAAGAAAAAATGACAAAGAGGTGCAAAGGACGTAATCTCCAGGTATTCTGAAATATATACTGCAGTCAAAGATGAAGCATCCAGTATAAATATCCAAAGACCCACCCACATCAGTTCAACTTAAGTTAAACATCTGGCAAACAAAAACTGCAAACTGTTGGCTGCCATGCAGAACTCAAGCTGTGTTCTGCATTGGTGAAATTTAGTAACAAGAAATGCAACTCATTTGCAAAAGTGACAGATACACTGATTACTCTCTGTCCCTGAACATACACATGAACACACACTGTCGCATGGCACCATTTTAAATTTTTGACAAATGAAACAATTAGCTTCCCTTGCTTTTATTGCTCAACAAAATCATGAGTCACTCTCAGTGCTGTATTCTGCTGCAGCCATTATATGAATAACCAATTTGTGTGGCAACAAAATAATTGCAGGCTTGACAGGCAAATTTATTATAATTAATGAGAATCATTTATCCTCCCTCAGAGTCTGAGAGCTGATATTCAAATCATAATAAAACAAGTGTTTACGGTGTCCTTCAGGGTGGAAAGACACACACACATACACCTTTGTATAGCTACAGTCAGGGAAACAATTATTTGAACCCCAGCTGATTTGGTAAGTTTGCCCACTAACAAAGAAATTATCAGTCCTCAATTTCAATGGTAGGTTTATTTGAACAGTGAGAGACACAACAATAACAAAAAATCCAGATAAATGCATTACAAAAAAGTTATTTCATTCATGAAAATGCAAATTAATGTATAAGTATTTGATCTCCTATCGGTCAGCAAGATCTCTGGCTCCCAGGTGTATTTTATACAGGTAACAATCTGACATTGGGTGCCCTCTCAGCTCGTTACCTGTATAAAAGAGACCTGTCCACAGAAGCAATCAATCAATCCAGATTCCAAACTCTTCACCATGGCCAAGACCAAAGAGCTTTTCAAGGATGTCAGGGACAAGATTGTGGACCTACACAAGGCTGGAATGGGCTACAAGACTACCGCCAAGCAGCTGGGTGAGAAGGTGACAACAGTTGGTGCAATTATTCGCAAATGGAGAAAAAATAAATTAACTACCAATCTCCCTCGGTCTGGAGCTCCATGCACGATCTCACCTCGTGGAGTTTCAATGATAATGAGAACGGTGAGGAATCAGCCCAGAACTATTTCAAGGCAACTTGTCAATGATCTCAAGGCAGCTGGGACCATAGT